TTCCGATTATTTCAAATTGGTTTAGAGTTTTTGAACTTTTGTTTTGGCAGCATCCTTGGTGTTATTTTGTATGTGTGCTGAGCGTAATTTCATTGTGCAAATTGTAGGTTTCAACCGTACGAGCAGGAATTCAAAAAATGTCGAATTTGTAAATCAGTGGTGCATCAGATTGGCTCACATTACTGCCAGCAATGTGCCTATCAGAAAGGCATATGCGCGATGTGCGGTAAAAAGATGGCCGAAACAAAGAAACTAAAAATGTCTTGCGTCTAATTAGTCTCTATTGTTTTTTTTTAATTTTTTAAAAGTAATGGAAAAATTCGCAACGGGAGATTTACGTATGTGATCGCAGTCTTACGTGCCAAAGAAACCCCGAAACTGTTGGAACTCTGTTGAATATTTCTGGCGGGGGAAAATGTGGAACTGGTAATCTCTTCAGAAGACGAAATGAAGCAGCACGAGATGTTGTGGCTTTAACAACAGCGAGAATGAAAAAGTTGCCAGCTAAATAAATTTAGATTTAAAGTATGAATTAGTGGTTAATCCGGTTCCCAGAACTAAATAACTTCTCTTCGAGTTTTTTGACCAGCTATAGTTTGGGGCAGCTCTTACCCTCGTGTTGTTTTCTAAAAAAAGTTGCCAGCTAAAGAGATTTGCACCTGCTGGTTAATTTTCCATTAAACTTGTTCGTTTTGGTTTTTTCGCCTGTTGTTTTCTCAGAGGGGTGCAAGTTAAGGTTTTTTACATTTTAGCGGTACCGACAAGAAATTGTATTGTTTCATTTTTTATTTAAAATACCTGTAGTAACAGCTAATTCATCGATAGATCTCCATCTATGCAGCTGGCAATTTTTCCGTGAAACACATTCTTGTGCTTTTCAATTCGATCAGGGTGAGGGTGGCCTTATAACTACCTCATTCATTGTCATTTCTTACAGAAAAATTTAGTTATAATGGAATAGCGAGAAAATTCTTGTAAAATTCTTGTAAAATTCTGCTTTCTAATATTCCCCATTAAGCCGTGACGTTGAATGGACTAGTCGAGAATGTATTTTAATA